CCCTCTCAGCTTGTTGTGACGGCTTGACTGAATGAACGTTTCTCAGGTTGTTTTATTCTTCCCCAAACAAAACTTACAGTTTCTAATGAAGCCCCTCGAATGCATCGTCTACGAGTGGTCTCTCATGGAAACATCCAGGTTTTGGGACCTTTACACAAAGGGACCTCGTAAAATAAAACTCTCCTTGGTTTCTGTGTTGAAGCACTTAAGAGGGGATTAAACCTATATATTCACATGTAATAAAAACAACCTTGAGTTATTTAAAGCATTTTAATATTGAGCTAAGAGACAGAAATGTGTTTTTTGAGTTGGTGTCTGAGCTTCACCAGAAAACAAGTGGCACTTTAATGTTAAAAAAAAAGTTAAAACAACGCTGTTTTCACCTTGAGGTTCTGTTTGATATGATTTTATTCCTGCAAAAAGCTCTGTTCCTCCTGCTGTGGGAGCTGCTGGGCGCTGCTCCAGGTCACTTGAATGAACCAATAAATAAAAAGACATGAAGTATGAAAACTCAGTAAAAAAAAGTATGAGTCCTTTTTTTGACACAGAAATGTTGTTCACAGGGCGCATGAGGTAACAAGTTACACAAGGTATACTGTATTACCTAACTCCATAAGAACAACAGGTCTAACAGGATGCACACAGCTCTGAGTGTGTTCAAAGAAAACCTCTCAGAAAACACACACGATTTGTCCTGAGGGAACAACAACCTTATTAAGATTCTGTAAAACCAAGTCTAATCTCTTTATGGTGTTTTCAAAACTGGTAAACACATTTTCCGTCTGGAGAAAAGTGTGTGTGTGTGTGTGTGTGTGTGTGTGTGTGTGTGTGTGTGTGTGTGTGTGTGTGTGTGTGTGTGTGTGTGTGTGTGTGTGTGTGTGTGTGTCCTAGCATTACTATACTTGTGGGGACCTAAATCTGTTTACACAGTCACGTGTGGGGACTCGCCTCCCTTATGGGGACATAATGGAGGTCCACATGAGGGGAATCATTCATTTTAGGGTGAAGACTTGGGTGTGTGTGTGTGTTTTGAGAGAGAGCTGTTAAACAAGTTCTGTTGGTAGAAGTGTTGGGTGGATGCACATGATGGGACTGAGGAGGTGTTAGTTGAAGGGTGTGTCAGCTCTCAATGTCATTCATACACCTTTTTTTATTTTGGCATAAGAGTCATACAGCTCCAAATAACTCCATTACATGTCACTTGTTAGACGCTTTTATCCAATTGTATAAGAAAGGAGAAAAAAGGCAGGACCCATCTAAGTGTCCTTTTTACTTGAGGGTTAAATAACACCGTTAGTTCAAAGATTACAAACTATGAAATTCATCACTATTCTTTCTCAGTTACCTCCAATTAGATGAGAGAATAGACAAGAATTAGGAAGTTGAGAATACATTTATCCTGTAAGACAACATAATATATAGTTATTAACTTGTTTTACCATCTGATTGGAGGTTAAAGGGTAGGAAAGAAGGTTATTTTTCCAATCAATTATAGCAATGCAGTAACAGTATTGTGCATTAATTAAAGCTTAGATTTATATTCGTAACTATTCACTGCCTTCTGTCTTTTTATGGGCAGCACAAAAAATGGCAGATAGCTTCTAAAGTCATTAAGATCAATAAAAACTGAGCAACGATGTCAAATAAAGTTGTATAAAAACAAAACACCTCAAACTTTGAAACATTTAATACTTTGTGATGTGAAAAAACTGTACAAAATACACTTACTGCAGCAAACTTAAGAGCGCAATCATTTAAAAAGTGAGTGTTAAAGAACAATACGTGTGTTTTCATATCAAATGTATACAATACTCACTTGTGTGATATTTTAGAGAAAATCGGTACAATACATAATATGAAACTAGGGTAAGGGTTAAGCTTCGTCCAAAAGTAACATGTAATAACTTGATTGTTTAATCCGGACAAACACGAATGTTACAACGTGGTTAATTGATTATTTTGTATCTTGAACGACTACTTTTTTTGGTAGCTAATAAGTCATATTTTTTTCATCTGATTGACTCTTTTCCTGATCAGCACATTGCTCATGAACACAACATTTTAAAGAGTGCTTTTTCATGATTCTTTGTGCATTAAATCCAGTTTTACAGATCTGTTAATACCACTTACAAAGATTATGGACACAAGTCGTGATGGACCAGAATCTCCTTTTGGAATGAACCACCTCACTTCTGCTTCAGTGCCAGCAACAAGTAATGTCCTATTGTAGTAGGATTAGATTTGATTGTACAGGTGTTCATGATGTTTTGTCCACTACTTCCCCAAAGTTCTTTTCACTGCAAGTTCATTTTCAGGCTGTTTCTTTTGTCTCCACACATCGACTGAAAGCAGATCCCCCTTGCTGATCTGCAAGTGCTAACACCTCCTTCTGCATTCATCCATCAGGCGTCTCAGACCCAGCATTCTTTGTCAAACACAGGATACATATCTGGTCAAACTGAACGCTCCGGTGCAGAAACGACTGCTTCCTGTTGTTGCAGTGATTTGAATTCCTTTTTTAACAGTGTATAGACACAAGCAACAGATGCTAACTGACTGTTAGCCAGCTCATAGAGTCCTGTTGCGAACCAGGATGTGTTGAGTACGCAAACGTTTTATTTAGAAATGAGTAGTACGGGTCGCCAGCACATAGAAACTGCAGGATGCTAACGTTTATGTGCTAGGCAATATGCAAAATGAGCATAGGTTGCATTGATTAGCATATGCAGCAGACGTTAGTTTAAAATTGGCTTGGCCGTTTTGAACAATTTTGGAGTTGTTTTGGGGTTTATTGAGGATGTTGAATCAATTTCTGAAGTTTCCAGGATCAAAAATGGCAGTTTTATCCAGAAAGTTGGCTTATTTGTTTTCCCCGTTCGCTGATTTAGATGAATATTTGGTAGATTTTAACGTTTTTGTGGACTCTAACTACCATTTCTGATCCTAAAGTTGTAAGAACTTGATTCACCATCCTTAATGTACCTCGAAAACCACACCAAAATGGTCCATATCGCCCAATAAATGTTGTAGCCATTGTCTGCATATGCTAATAAATGCTAATTGCACCACATATGCTAGAAAGCATCCAGCAGTTTCTATGAACTTGGGACCCTTCCTACTCATTTCAAACATAGAGCCTTCGGGTTCTCTACATTTCCAGGTTCACACCGCTGGCAACTAGACTACAAGGTAAGAGCTAAAGTCAGCAAACCAATCCAAATCCAGTTCATCCACCAGTAGAGTGTTTAAACCGAGGAGTCAGACTGGTGTCCGTGGAAGTGCTGCATTGATTTGTGTTTTAGGAACGCAGCGATGGACGTCGACCTTTTGACCCTCTGCGTGCCGGACATGGTCAGAGGCCTCTTGGTGGGGGAGGCGAAGGAGAGGTGATGGCGAAGGCGACTAGGGTGGGACTGGCGTTGTTTCACGTTGGGGTTTTCTCCCCCGACTCCTCCCCCCTCTCCCCCTGCAGCTCGGACCGGAGCCCGTAGAAGCGTGAAGACCTCCGGAGCGCTGCCGCGGCTCAGGTACTGCCAGGGCCTCTTCCCCGCCGTGTCCCTCAGCTTCACGTCGGCGCTGAACTTGGTCACCAGCAGCCTCATGATGTTCTTGTGGCCGTGCATGGCGGAGATGTGGAGGGGCGTGTAGCCGCATGTCGACCGGGCGTTCACATCGAAGGTCAGACCAGCTTTCTGAACTCCATACCTGAAACCAAGACGGAGAACATATCAGAATCAGAATCAGGGTTATTACACGTACGAGGAATTTGACTTGATGTCGTGGTGCATACATAAAAAGAAAAAAAAACAGATAGAGAACTGTTAAAAGAAAACTATAATAACATTAAAAATAATTAATACAATTAAATATAGCAATATTTACTGAAAGGAAAATCAGAAGCATAGAATATCAGTTTCTCATTGCAGAAAATATATTTAAAGTATATTTTCCTTTGTTGGAGAATAGATATTCTTCAAGAGCATTTTAATAATAATAATAATAATAATAATAATTCATTGTATTTATAGAGTGCTTTTCATGGTTTTCAAGGACACTTCGCATGCTAAAATTAATGAAAACAACACACTTAAAATACATAAAACAAAACAACAACTAGAGATTGAAATCCGTTCTGAAAAGGTGAGTTTTGATTTCTGGTTTGAATGAAGATGGTGCAGTCACGGATGTGTTTTGTCAGTTTTGACGTAAATTTGTGTCGACTTCACACAATTAAGTAAAACATGTAAATATTTAGCAGCTTATATCTTACTATTGACGTCACTGCCTCTAAAGTTCACTCCCTTTTGTGTCCAAACACAGTGGAGTTTAAAATATTTGACCCATGTGATTCGCCTTAAGGGAGCAGGAATGTGATCAGTAAACTTCTCGACATTCTTTGATTTAGATATTTCTTGTGTACAAGTGAAAATCTTTGCTTGGTGGTTACTCCTTAGAGATCACAATCATGGGTTTGTGAATATCTTGGTCTTATCTGATGACATTTTGACAAATAATGATATATTTAGCTCGGGTAATAACACATAATTGTAGCAAGCAACAGACCTTTTGACCCTTAGGCTGCAAACCATATCTTAAAGATTGACTTCAGAAAACCATCCGAGCGACATTTTTGTTTTAGCTGATTGGTTTTCTATTTATTTATTTATTATTGTTTGCCTGTTTTTGTATGTCTGTTTGTCTTCTGTCTGTCTGATTGTATTTGCCCTGGTGGTGTTAAGCAGTATTTACATTGTTACTCTAACTATTTTTCTATAAAGTGAAGATTTGTTTACCTGCTTTTGACACATGCTCTGATAGATAAACTGTATGCTGTTGAAAAAACCCAATAAACAAAGTTTAAAAAGAAAACCGTCAGAGCGAACTAGCTAACAGTGAGCATCGTACCATAAGGTGTTCAGGACTCTGTGTTCGCCGTGCTTTGCGATCCAGTGCAGCACGGTGAAGCCGGAGATGAAGTCCTGCCTGTTGAGCAGCGACGAGTCCTCTCTGAAGAGGGTGTAGATGTCGGGCCAGGCCCCCGCCGCGCCCTTCACCAGCCAGGCGTGCTCCTTGGGCTCCAGAGGAACCAGGGACTGAGGACAGGGGCAAACATACACTTAATAAAATGTTCTTTACGGGAATCAGAAACAGGTTTATTACCAGGTAGGTTCACACGTACGAGGAACATGTCAAATGTTATTGTTTCCCATTTGTTGACCAAGACAAAGTAAAGAGCCTTTGTTGCTAGTTGTCAATCTTACTGAAGATGACATTACTTTACTGTCAGCATGTAAAACCAGATAAGGACACTTATGCAATATTTCGATGACTTAAAGGTAAGACAATATCTAGTCAAGTCAAAGTCAACTTTATTGTCAATCTGTTTCCCACAATCCCGAATACAATGTCCATCAGTCTCACCTGTCTAGTGGGCCCTTCCTGGTCATTGGTGTTGGAGGCGGGGGTGCAGGTGGAGCTCCTCCTCCCCCCTCTGACCTCCCCCAGGTCTGCCAGGCTGTGGCAGCTGGGGGGGGGAGCAGGACGACAGGGAGGAGGTGGACAGGTCGTATCGCAGGCTGAGAGACGAGGAGATCAGGTGGAGGCGGTTCAGACGGGCCGCCTCGCTCCCCCCCCCCGCACGCGCCTCCTCCTGCAGGATCTGGTCCAGGTCGGCTCCCAGGCTGCGGCACATCCTGCTCCTCAGCTGGCTGCTGATTCGCCGAGCGCCCCCCCGCCGCGGCTGCGAGGAGGCGGAGCCTTCGCTGGACTCTGCGTCTTCTCGGTCGTCGTAGAGATCTCCTGCGAGCAGAGGGGGAGGAAGTACTCAGACCCTTCACTTAAAGAGGCCCTGTTCTGTTGTTTTAGGGTTCTACCTATCCTAGTGTGATATACAGGATGCATATCACTGCCTGAAACGCCTCCATTGGACTCCTTTGTTGACTTTTGTTACATAATCACATCACTATTTAACACTGGCGCTTCTATTGGTTAGCGCTCCAACACATCGTACGTGATAGGCTAAGGGGCGGTACATCTCTAAGCGGTTGACCAATCCCAACAGAGCCGGCCAGCTAACCAATCAGAGCAGACTGATGGTTTCTGGTTTCAGACAGAGGGTGAAAAGAGGTGCCGCAGCACTGAAAGAGCTTTTTGAACATTAAAGCATGTAAACAAGTCACAGTAGAGAAATAAAATACAAAAATGAACAGAATAGATCCTCTTTAAAGAAGCTAGATACCACAGTATGACATCAACATATGTTTCACTTTACACTTTCAGAAAATCCCTCTTCTGCACTTTTCTTATACGTACAAAGATACATTAACTAAAAGGTTTAAAGGGCAATCTATTATCCTAAATGACATGTTGTGTGTAAGATGTCATATGTAAAAAACAGTCTTTAATTAAGTCCAACAGACTCCAGCTCTGACCTGTGGAAAGATGCCAGGGCACCACACCAACTGTAGAGTTGTGGTCGTCATGGAGATTGTCGTTTAAGTGATGGAATGGTGGCAAATAACCGGTTGGTTCCTGGTGGTCATGGAAATGGCTGTCGGCATGTTGCGACTCCAGTTTTTGCCCCTGGGCTCGGTGGAGTACTTCCTGGATTTTAGACCCGCCCCTAACCGCACCTGCTGACACAGCAGATTTAAAACAAAACCAATGTTAAACATGTGTCACATGCACTGAATAAATGTCTTATAGGAGATTTGTATTGCCAACAACTAGACTGTAGCTATTGTGCATATGACATTAACATCTTTGACATAGATAGATAGATAGAATCGGAGGGATGAAACCCCTCTGTAATGGTCACACATGCAGAGCACACAGCACACAGTGACATTTGTTCTCTGCTTTTAACCCATCCTAGTACCAGGAGTCTAGGGTTGCGTTCGGATAGTTTAAAAATCAGCTCCTAAGTTCTAACCCTATCGTCTATTCCTTGACCTCTGAGTGAAACGTCACGGGGTTAAGGGAGAGTGGATAGGAGAATTCAAAAGGACTTAGGAGAAGAGACTGCGGTACTTTAGAGAATCCGAATGCACTTTCACTATCCAACGTGTTTGTGATGCGCCAGCGGACGTCATAAATGTGCGTCTGCTGCTGTGGGAAACTATGGAAACTACAGTTTTCTATAGCGGACCACAACATGGATGTTTAATAAGAACGAGGGACTCATCTAGAGACTCTGCACCGTGCTCTGATGCTGTTGTTTTATGCTTTATGAACGTGGACAACAGAGAAACATATTCTTCATGACCAAAATTGGAATTGAAATAAAAAAGGAAAGTGAAACTTATGCTCGTCACCCTCTCCCTCCGGTCCACATTAATACAAATGATCCCAATACTTATGATTGTATGAACTATGAAAATATCTTAAAATCAATACAAATGTATTTATTATAAACGTTAGTCCTTAACACCTATCACTGTGTATATCACCATTCAAACATCTTTTAAACGTTGAACAAACTCCACACAGCTCAGTAAACACTGTGAAATGTTGACTTTATTTGATCATTTCAGTAAAAACTAACGTTCATATTTCTCTTTTTGATTATAATACTGATGAACGTAGGGAAGGGGGGGTGTCCGGTGCCTTGCTCAAGGGCACCACGGCAGGGCAGGAGGTGAACTGGGACCTCACCAAGTAGCTCTGAAATCTAGTCAATGGAAGCTTTTACATATTATGGTATCCATACAAAACATATATATTTTAGGAACAGAACAGACTTACACATTTCAGTACATATACAAGAAACACACAGAAATGTAGCATTGGAAGAATTTGAAATGCTTGGATTCAACAGCTGGGTAATGTTGTTTTGAATCAATGCTTTGTTAGACTGGGGTGTATGGTTTAAGAAGGTAACAGTGTGGCTTCATGATGGGGTTCTTTGGACAACAATGGAACTATTGGCACAGAGGAAGACTATGTATCAGGCTTTCATAATAAGACGTGGATGCAGTGACCATGACCTTACATTGGTTTGTGAACTATCATTTAAAAGCCCAAACCTGATCATATCTGCTGGCTATTAAAAAGTGTGAAGATTTAAAGCACTGACTCACTTTTCAAACCCGGACGATGACGCTTGGTTACAGAGGTGATGTAAATAAGGGGAAATAAAGATAACCACTAGACTTCACCTTTTAATCTTTACACAGAGTTCAGTCGTACCTGAAAGTGCAATAAGCCCTCGTGCAATTCAGGCTTTATTGTCTTTCAATTAATTTACAATCCGTAAACAGCACCAGCTCCCTCTTTAATTTGTATATGGTCAAAGAATACACTGCTACAGTACTTGTTAACGTATCTGCTTTGTTTGTATTATTAATAATGTGTGCACACTTTTTTATATGCAAGTCTATTCTCTTAGTTTATCCACACTATACTTCTGCTGTTGTAATAATGTGGGACAAATAAAGTAATCCTGATTCTGACCTGGTTTTGCCTGTAGCTCTTCACAGCTGCTGTTCCACCCGGACCCCCTGGAGGAGCCCGACGGCGGCCAGTTGTTGCTGGAGAACTCTGGGTCAGAGGAGGGGGAGAAGATGCTGCTGTGGCTGGAGGAGGGCCTCTGACCTCCGCTCTGATCGGGCCCCAGGAGGACAGGGTAAGCGTATTTGGGTCCATCACGGCGAGGCACCGCCCCCGTATCTCTGTCAGAGGATGGGGTGAAGTGCTCCGCCTCTAAAGGGAGGCTCCGTCTGGTGGAGGACCCTTCCCCTGGAACAGACCCAGGGTTTGGCCCCTGTCCTCCCGGCCTTTCCTCCTCCACACCCTGGACGTAAATCTTCGGGAGCTTCCTTTCCGATGCATAAGAGGAAGAGGAAGAGGAGGATATAGAAGGAGAGGTCTGTGGATCTATGACGCAGGGCGAGGAGGCGGAGAAGGCCTTCCCCAGGTCTCCGAGAGGATAGTTGGGGGGCCACGCTCCTCCTGCTGAACCCCGCCTCACCTGGACCTCCTCCTCTTCCTCCTCCTCTTCCTCATCATCATAAGAGAGGGCAGATTTGTAGCTCTGCCTGTGTCTGGCAAGGCGTGGGGCACTCAGCAGAGGGGTCTGATGAAGAGGAGGGGTCTGATGAAGAGGAGGAACTTGATGAAGAGGAGGGGTCTGATGAAGAGGAGGGGTCTGATGAAGAGGAGGCACCTGATGATGAGGAGGCTCCTCACGAAGAGGAGGGGTCTGATGAAGAGGCTCCTGATGAAGAGGAGGGGTCTGATGAAGAGGAGGGGTCTGACGAAAAAGAGGCTCATGGCGAAGAGGAGGCTCCTGACGAAGAGGAGGCTTCTGATGAAGAGGAGGGGTCTGATGAAGAGGCACCTGATGAAGAGGAGGCTCCTGACGAAGAGGAGGCNGACCCCTAAGCTCCGCCTACTTCGTATTTGTTTATTATCGGGACACATGTTGATGTAGAAGAGACATGATGAAGAGGGGACACATGTTGACGTAGAAGAGACATGAAGAAGAGGGGACACATGTTGATGTAGAAGAGACATGAAGAAGAGGGGACACATGTTGATGTAGAAGAGACATGAAGAAGAGGGGACACATGTTGATGTAGAAGAGACATGAAGAAGAGGGGACACATGTTGATGTAGAAGAGACATGAAGAAGAGGGGACACATGTTGATGTAGAAGAGACATGAAGAAGAGGGGACACATGTTGATGTAGAAGAGACATGAAGAAGAGGGGACACATGTTGATGTAGAAGAGACCTGTGGTTTCAGGCCGAGGTGTTGGTGTTTTCAAAGATAAGAGAAGATGTATTTGTATTAATCAACATTTGGGAAATTGTTTTGTTGCAGCAGCATAAAACAAAACAAGGCATTGCACATGCTCACAAAATTAAAAGAGTAGAAGAATAAACAATTCTAAAATAGAAACATCTCAAAATAGAAATAGAAATAAACCAGCATTAGAGAGTAAGAAAGAGCAGGATATTATTTACATAAAGTGTGCCTGGAAATTAATATTAAATAAAATATAAATATGAAATGAAACGCACCCTTTCAAACTGTAGAACAAGATGGCCTGATTGAACGCCGAGCACAAGAAACACACATATCATTCACTGCTGTCTGGTTTCGTGCAAAGTCTGAGCATGACCCCTCTTAATTATCAATGTGCTTTTAGTTTCCACCAACTCTCTAAAGACGCTGATGATATCACGATAACTGAGTGTGGACTGAATGAGGCCCATATGTGTTGAAAGGTGCCGAACCAAATGCCTGTCTATTACTTACAAGACGCTAAAGGGCTGAATTTCACCCTTTACAAGTGCTTTGAGAATTTAATTTAATGCAATTTATGCAGATTTATCATGCACAAACCACAGAATACAGGAACGTTGACATCTGCAAACATCTTATTTGGGACGATTTAGAAAATTAAACGTAAAATAATAAAAAATATCGATTTCTGACTGGGGTTTTTTGATTGTTTATAATATTATTACTTATTATTTCTCGACCTTTTATTATGGGTTGGATCAGTTGGGTCACATGGGTAATATAATCACCTGTTCACTATGTAAGGTGTGTGTGGAAGAGTGGAATAGAGGGTCGCTGTATTTTTTGTTGACCACAACCTTTTCACAGCTTATTCAGAAAGTAGAATTGTGTGCAAGTTCAAATGTGTTTATTAGGGCCCGAGCGCGAGAGTGCTAGGACCCAACGAAGTGCGAGGAACCTGTTGTTATTGTAGGAATGATTCTTCACTATTCTTCCCGTTCTTAGAACCCATTTTTTTTCTTATGCTTCAAAAGTTGTATAATTTTGCACGGACGCCAGGACCGATGAAAAATTAGACATTCTGGAGTCAATGGGTTCAAATTGTCCAACCTGGGGATGCTGTGGTGTAGTGAGTAGTACGTTGGCGTTCGGATCAGGGGAGCACAGGTTCAAACCCCACTACAGTCAGCATGTCGTTGTGTCCCTGAGACACTTCACCCCAAATTGCTCCTGAGGGGATTGGCCACAGTATTGAGTATGTAAGTCGCTTTGGATAAAAGCGTCTGACATGTAATGCTCGCTAGCGCCACCTATGAAAATCCCATTTCGGAAAAATGTACATAGTCGCACCGTAAATCCGAATGACCTGAAATGTAGTATCCGTCTCGACCTGCTCTACAAATTATCCTCTTGGACCCCTAAGCTCCGCCTACTTCGTATTTGTTTATTATCTTTATTATAGTAAGCTTTTTGTTCAACGCATTTTGCATATCAGACTTCATTTTCCAGTCTTATTGTGTTGACTCTGGCACCGGGCCCGACTTCAGCCTCTCAGCGACAAATGTTTGTTCCTGCTGTCACTACAGATCAAGTGAATTTGCAATGTGGCTTTTACATTTTGCACAAGCTTCGACAAAAGTAAGGTTTCTTTTTGTCTTATTACTGCAGGTGTAGAAGCTGGAAAAGGAACACAATCTTTTGGTGAACCTGCTCGTCAGCGAACAACCTGAGATGTCCCAAAAAGGCCACCGTACAGAGGATTAACTATCATTTAGGTAATAAAAACACTTCTTCACTAGCGGTACAAATGCTTAACATCACTAGGGCTGTTGAACTATTTATTTTACACTTATTAAACAGACAATATGATATTACAATTGTGCGACTAATTTGCACATTTCCTTTTAAATCAAACTAAATATTCTGTACTGATTACGAGCTTATTATTAGACGCACACTTTATATATTTTAATTGTTTTTCACAGCTGACCTGCTGAGCCCTCTCCGGATTAATTGAGCAATTACTTTGAATTAATCACTTTGAATTAATGAATTAAGTGTTCAACGGTGTCTTTATTATTTCCATATCATTAGTGCCAGATATCATTATTTCTTCATTTTTCATTCATACAATAGTTGAGTTTCCTCAGTGTCTTTCTCTCTGCGTCTCACATCTTCAGATCGTTTGTTGTTGTTTGTTTGTTCTCTCTCGTGTTGGCTCTGCCGTGTGTTCAGTAATCTGCAGGATAAACATTAACTCGTCTCCACCTTCCCGCCCTGAAACACGCCGGCTGTGTTTGTAGCTGCGATCTGACTTTGTGATTCCACCTCTAAACTCTTTCACACCTTCAAAGTAAAAGCCCGTAAAACACAATGAATGAACTTGCAGCTGATTAACTTACTTTGGCAATTTCCAGATCTCATTTATATACTTATTTTATGTAAGAAAAATACAAGATAAACAAAAAAGACAGACTGTTTTAGTCTCATGAGCATAACTCTCAACCTAAGGGACCCAAACAATTACAATTTAGAGCTCCTTGACTTTCGCATATAGTCTTTTAACGATTGTCAGATACATGCTGTCGGTCAAAAACAATGTTTGTTATGTTAGTGTTTATCTCCGATGCCGTCCTTTTTGTGTAAGATTGCACGATTTAAGTCCACATTTGTGTTAAACGATGGAAAATGTTCCTCAAAGGGATACAATTAACTTAAATAATCTTTAAAATAAGATGTTTTAAGAAACTGTGATTGCGTGAAAACATATTTTCAGAACTTCCATCAAATAACGCATTTTTTAAATGTATTTCTGTCTCATTATAACCGATACACAGTGCTTCCTCCTCCTCCTGTGGTTCACCTCCTCTTCAGTAAGAAACAACCTCTTAACTACACCTCCTCGTCAACAAGTATTAATACAACTCACCCTGATAATCACTGCTGAGCAGACTAATAATGCAGCTGTGAGCAGATCTAAGTTTTTACAGTTGCGTGTTTTTTACAAGTATTACTCCTGCAGACAGAGGATATACCGTATAATGGTATTATAGTCAAACATATGTAATATAGGGGGAATGACATACATTATGGTTCATTAATAAACACGTCTTTATATTTCCTAACAAGCCATTTATTTCTTTAGAGTATAGATTATAATCGGGTTTACTCGTTTTTCTTTAAAATCTGGATAAGGTGTATTGTCAGGTTTGCTTCGGTGTGTAGTGCCGTAAACATAATAATACAAAAATGGGCAAAAGTCAAGAACATCAATTACAATAAAAATCTGGAAAATCTATATTTTTTTACAAACACTGTGACAAAAAGATAGGCGTACAATGTGACAGAGTGTGCAACAAATATGTTACATGATAAATGCCTATCAGTCTAACACTTCCAATGAGGTGTAAAGGATAACAATAGAATACATAAATGCACCTCCTCCTCTCCAGCAGTGCTCCTCCTGCTCCTCAGTGACACTCTGTGTACTCCTCACTTTGTGCAGCTACTTCCTGATAACCCCCTCCTCTTAAATGAGAAACAGCTCCACTTTCCTCCCTAAATACTCCACTAATCGCACCTCCTCTCTGTTCAATGTATCAGGACTGCTCCTCATTAACAACATATGCAGATACATGCTCCATCATTACCGCGAACACATCACCTTTTCTGCTTAATATACACACACACACACACACACACACACACACACACACACACACACACACACACACACACACACACACACACACACACACACACCAGTTACCTCACTGCTCCTCCTGAGTGAACCTCCTCCTGCTGCCATTCATTACAGAGCAGACAAAGAGCAGCTTCTATAGCGCAGATCCCCCATGTAAGCACACACATACACACACTGCACACTGTACACACTGTACACACACACACACACACACACACACACACACACACACACACACACACACACACGCACACACACCTTGGATGTAAAAGTTGTTGGTCGGCAATACTGTTATGGTTTTCTATCTACTGCTTATTTACTGAAAGTATAAGACTCTAAATAATCTCTTTAAATGAATGGACGGTAATGGATTAAAAACGGCAAAAGTCTGATAGACAGCAAAGGTCTGAGTCAGACAGAAATCTCTCCTCTCAAGGAGGAGAAGATGGAGTTCACTCAGCACCAGAGCAGGCAGGAGATGGTGGCCAGGCATTGAGAGAAGATAGAAAGAGCCTCAGACCTAACCATGCTGGCAACTCTTGACGACCAGAGGAAAGAATACCAGAGGAAGGTGGACCTGTTGGAGAAGCAGATCCTTCAGAGGGACACTGACATTCTGGATCTCAGCAAGGTCGAGGATGGTCTCTCCATGAAACTCTCAGAGACCACAAACCAGCTGCAGAACAAAGAAGCTGGGATCCTTCAAAGCCTGGCAGGCTAAATTCAAAGGCAAAGGCATTGAAATGACGTTGGTTTTGTGAAATATAATAGGTAATTTCCCTAGTCCCTAACTGAAACCCTATGATGTGAGCTAACCGTCCTCTGATTTCTGACAGTCTGTCGAATGTCCATTGTAAAATAACCTCATGCATTTAAAGTAACCAGTTAGTTAAACCATGTAGAAATAGACTCCTCTGTTTCTCAGAACAGCAACGCTCTCATTCTGGTGAAGAGCGTCAGATCATATACAAAAACACAATCCTGTATGGATGTGATATTTAGCTATTGACTGAAATCTTTGTGATTTCTTTAAGCCAAGAAAAAGTTAGCCTGCTCCTTGCATCAGATGAGGGACGTTTGTTTTACTGACCTCGTTTAAGATGGCCAAGTTCTCACACTGCAGAGCCTTGGTTTTGTGGGTAAAGCCTGGAGGACAGACAGGAAGACAGACATACAGTTAACCATTGCAACAGCACTGATGGAGGAAGTACTCAGAGCTAGTTTTGATATCTTTATACTGCTGTGATACAAATCAAGGATTCAAAAGATTCAAAAGGTTTAATGTCATATACAAATGTCCTGTAAATATGATATGAAAGACTTGGGTCACAGGTTCCTTAACAATGCAATTTAAATATATACAAGACATAAAAAAAGAAAATAACTGCAAGCTCAGGCGTTAAGAAGTCTGTGTGGCTTAACCTTAAGTGAGAAAATGTATGTTTTGCATTAATGATCTGATACTGCAAAGTTACCAGTATCATTCAAATATTGTGTCTTTGTTTTTTTTTTTGTGAAGGGTATTATTTTGAGAAATATTAAGATAAAATACATTCAAAAATCAGGATCAATCTGAATCCAACAATGATACTGTGTCTTACCCTACCTAGTATTTATTTATCGTGTGAAAATTAGGTTAGACATTAAGTCTCACTTAAAATTTAGTATTTTTATGGTGTGGTATTTTTTATGTTGAAGAAGAAGACATACTTTATTCATCGACATTTCTTTCCCCATGGTGTTTGCACACACAGGGAGGTTATACATGCATTAACACAGAGGATATACATGCACACACAACCACATGCAGAGCAGAGAGGCTGCCAGGTACCCAGCACCAAGGGAGCAATTTGGAGGTTAGGTGCCTTGCTCAAGGGCACCTCGGCAGTGGCCCAGGAGGTGAACTGGCCCCTCTCCAGCTACCAGCTCACTCCATATATATATTGTTTTAGTCCGATCAGGATGTGAACCGGCGACCCTTCGGTTCCCAGACCAAGTCCCTACAGACTGAGCCACTGCCGCCTCAAAAGTGTCTAACATCACTGTCCAGAGGGCGATGAAGTACTCAGATCTGTATTTCAGTAAAAGCATTAAAGGTGGGGCTAACTTTTATAACTTAATATACTCTTTGTGTTTTCTCTTAAGGGATCAATAAAGTGACATCATCATCTACACAGCCAGCTAAAAAAACAACTTAAAACACAGTAAAAATTGCTTAACAATTTATTTATTTATTTTTTTTTAAATGGTAGAAGTTAAACAGAAATAACGCTAGAATCAGATAACATCACGGAAGGCTTTGCAATAACAGAAGCAACTGACATTATGCTGTATTTCCTCAGGCAGGGTATTTTTTAATTATATTATTACATCATATTTATTAGTTAATATTTTATATTGATAATCTAAACAAGCAAAGTTCAGTTGATGAATTGAGTTGGAGCTGAAGTATAAAAATTAACATGAACTGGAAAAACTCAAGTAAACTGCAATAACCTCAAGAATGAATGTGAGTTACTGACCTCTGAAGCACAGTTCCACCTTTCTGTCAGATCGTCCCGGCAGGTTGGAGATCTTCTTCAGATTCACACTGATGGACATGACGATCCTGTCTGTCTGTACACCTGTCTGTGTTCAGCTGTCTGTCTCTCTACATCATGTCTCACTGTAGTCGTCTCCTCTGCTCTCTTCGACTGTTGGAAACTAACTGCTGTGTGTGTTTTCTGTCCAAGGTTGGTACCTGAGTGTGTGTGTGTGTGTGTGTGTGTGTGTGTGTGTAGACACACACACACACACACACACACACACACACACACTCAGGTACCAACCTTGGACAGAAAACACACACAGCAGTTAGTTTCCAACAGTCGAAGAGAGCAGAGNACAGAGATGCTGTATGAGAAACCAATGTGAGTTTGGAAAATTGCACAATATAAATCTATTCTAGTAGACCTCAACAATGGAATTATGATCAGTGGAAATGGCCATGACATGGGACCTTTAATGCTGTGGCATGTATAACCTCAAAGCAATGGACCAAAACCCAATCTGCTCCACAGAGGACACAAATGAATGGGTGGGTCTCTGGAGGGTATAAGAATAAGGTGGATCCAGGTGAACATATACAAGGTACAACAATGGTCAGTACATACATGTGCAATATTATATTATATTATATTATTATTATGAATAATGTGCTATGATAACGTGCAATTACGTATATGCCACTGTTTTTTTGCACTACTAAATACTGGTAATATTTACATTAATTATGTGACCGTCTATGTTTCCTGTAGATATTTAATTGCTCTTTTTAGTGTACAGTTTTACTGTTGCTGTGTTTATTGTATGTTTGTAACTCTGGCACAACAATTTCCTTGGGGATAAATAAAGTCTTATCTTGTCTTACATGTGTGTGTGTTACCTCTGAGGTGACTGAGTGGATGCTGGTGCCATCTGAGAGCCCGTTCCTGCGATACATGCTCACAGAGGGAGGGCTGGGGGTCACAGGTCAGGGCGACAGAGGGCGGGCGGGGGATACACATAACCTCTCATCCATGCCTAGAGAGGAAGAAACACGTTTGTTTAAAATACATTCATTCTTTATTTGCTTTTTGAAGCAGAAAGAGGTTTATTTACACTTTTTTTGGATGTGTTTTATTTGAAATTCAATGAGATGCTCATCAATTTGATCAAATAATGTCACGTTCATTGTGATTTAAGCAGACATCTCTGTGCAGGGAGGAATAAGAGAGCTGAGATCACGTGCTACATAAATAAATACCACCATCAATGCTGAGTAAATTACATATTATGTGTATTTACAGATATATATACAATTGACTATGACTTATACCTTTAGAAATATTGATATCTTGTCTTTAGGCAAACTGTTTTAGTCCAATTGGCTTAAAAATACTTATATGTACTGTCAATTTCCTAATGAAATGTCAATCAAGTTCTTTGCCACACACACACACACACTCGGCCGTTCACCATTATCACCAATCAACATGATCTACAAACTCAAATCACTAAGGCGGCTATCTTAGTTGCTAAGCATTTCCCATATCAAGCCATATCTTGCTTACATGTTTTGAACTTTAAACACAATGTGAAACCCAGAGGCGAACATTGATCTTTACACTATAGTATATTACTTTATTATATTATACTAGCTGCTGTTTTAAAACAATATAAAAAGGTCAACATTTGTAAGGTGTTTACTGAGTTCTGTGGTGTTTCTAAAGCAAGTGAGCATGTTTGAATGGTGACATGCACATTAGAAGATATAGTATGTAGGACTAACAAGTCAGGCATTTTTAAGTCATGCATATTTAGACCATGTTTTGTATATTTTGAGTCTGTTTTTATAAGAATTTTAGCATTTAAAGTGTCTTTGAGTACCCTGAAAAGTGCTCTCCAAATCAAATGTATCATTAATATATTTTACAATTGGTATAATTCAACATTTTCTTATAGGGAATCATGTAGAGGGTACGGATCCATTCTCACTGACAACAATTTCGTTTCACTTTCCCTTTTTAAATGTATGTTGCAACCTTGGTCATAAAGTTGTAGATTTTGCAGCAGATTTGTCCGCAACAGCAATTTGGGAAGCAGTGGTAAGATCCACAATGATGAAAGCAGGTGACTGCAGTCCGTGAACATTTAGTATTGTTCGCAGTGCACACAGCTGCAAAAGAGACTGCACACGTAGTACATTGACCCCTGAGGAATAATAAAGGAGTGGTTTGTCTTTGTCCCACCCTAACAGGAGGATAATTAGATGTCAATCAAACCCAGTCTGTACAGAATTAAGCTGAATAGGTGAAAACACCCCTGAGTGTGTTCAGACTCCACTATGGAAGTTCATGTTCCAGCTCCACCTCACAAATGTACATCTACCTTTGGTCATACACATAAATCTTCACTCCATTTTCCTCACACTTGCTTTTCATGGTGGGTTTAAATTAAAAAAAAGATACTATGTTCAAATTAACAGGAAAAACATCATCTATAAGGGACTACTGTTTTTTATAGTATGGTCATAAACTGATATCTAATATTTATTGCTATCATGGTGTCTTGCTTGTAAGAGAGAA